GAGAAGTTTGGGACTTGTATGGCGTGTGGTTCGTGGATCACCCAGACCTGTAAGTCGCGTGTTTCGACTGCAATCTTCCAATGACTGATAGTCACTTTTAATATCTAGGCGTCGTATATTAACGGACTATGGTACGTTCCTTGGTTCTCTGAGTCCACTTTTCTGACAATTGTTCCATCAACAGGTTTCGAGGGACATCCGCTACGCAAAGACTTCCCTCTTACAGGCTACACTGAGGTCCGGTACTCTGAAGAGCATAAGCGAGTCGTATACGAGCCATTGCAGATGACCCAGGCTTTCCGCAACTTTGAATCGACTTCGCCGTGGGAGATGACAGGAGACGGCAAAGTGGCTGAACGACCAGAACATCTCAAGGTGCCCCCTCCACCACAGCCCGAAAAGCCAGCGGAACAGAAGAAGTAGTAGTGCTAAACGTACTCCTTTTTATGTCCATGACTAGTTTTATGTTTATATACAAGTCTATCACGCCAGCTTTCAAACCAACCGCTCATTCGCACGTATAAAGTACTGGAAGAGACTGAGGACATAGAATGAATCGAAAACAAGTCGTCATCATGTGAGCATTTGCTCCAGTTCTGACTCGCGTTGTCCCAGGGAAGCGATCTCTGCTTCCAAGGCAGCATTTGCAATTTCTATTTGTAGTACGCTTGAAATGAGTTCTGTCCACTTTTTCTCGAGAGCTGTAAGTTGTTTTCCGATGGCAATCTGTCATTGTGTATGTTAGAAATGGTTCTCGCTAGTCACCAAAAAAGAAATGCGGACCTGTTCATTCTTTCGTGCCCGGTTAACCTCTGTCACTCGTTCATTTAGCTCTTCGATAGCCTTGTCAAGGCTCTTTCCTACAACCTCCATCCGGTAGTTGTATACACGCCATGCATTAGCGCCATATTGCTGCATTAGTGCACCATTGGCACTCCTGTCGCATTTGATGAGTTAATTGATCCATTTTTACTGTACACCATTGATACACCGAATACTCACCGTAGCCGTTGATGTTCCAACTGCGCACGAGCATTTTTCAATGCTGCCTGCCAATCTTCCACTGATGGGTTATCCCCAGCCGGTGGTGGCAGTTGAAAGCGCTTCGTGTCGATTGCAGATAGACGATTATGCGACTCTATACGTTCCAGCTCAGCGGCTAGCAGTGGGTTTTTCTATTTCGTACATAACATAAACCAGCAAAGTCGCAAATCAAAGAAATGGGGTCAGACGAGCAGTCCGGAGGGCTATACGACATAAAATTGGTATACATACCGAGAACAGCGGAAATTGAGGGGGTATTCGTGGGTCATTATCTGCAGAAACTCGTTGACCTAATCGTTTTCGCTCTTTGGCGAGTTCTGCCTTGACTTTGGCGAGCAATTCTGGATTATTGGACGCATCTTCATCGTAGTAAGGTAGTGCTTCGAATGTCGGTCGCTGTCGGCTCATCCTCTGAAATGGAGTTGGCTGCAAGAGCGGGACTCGGCCGAGTCGGATCCAACGATCACAAAAGTGTGCAAGCTACCTGTACGCATCTTGGAGTCTGCCACTTCCCCACAAATCATATCACCAAAAACCACCAAACTCATCATATAACCATGGCCGATACGTCCAACGACTCCCGTGCTCAAAATGGTGTGAGCAACGCCACAAACGAATCAGCAGCCCAACAAATGGTCTTAGCTATCGGGTCCCTTGGAAGTGCAAAGGATTCAACCTATACTGATTTGATTTCAAGTCTCCGATCTGATGTGGATAAATATATGGTAGATAGGATTTTGGAAGGAGGTCAGTAAAAATCCCTCACTCAACCGAGAATCTTACTCATCCTATCTTTAGCGGTGGAACCGCGCCCCAATCGATACCAAAAGGCGTACATTGTACTTACATCGGACGACTATGTCTCTTTGGTCAATAGTCTACCACAGCTATTCGAGTTCATCGCTCAGTCCCTTGCCCCTTCTGCGGAGCTCCGGATCGATGGTGCACCTCCGAATTCCAACATCGCCGACATCCTATCTTCTAATGGTCTTACCATCGCCTCTCAATCAGGATCAGACTCTCAGATCACCGCTACCAAGCCTACATCGCCACCAACTACCACATCAAGCAGTCTTCCCCCCCAATCCATCGCCCTTCCCAAACGCAACTCTGCCAAATCTCAAAAAGCTGCCATTTGGAGCTTTACAACACCCTCTACGCCTACCATTGATCCGTCTACTTTACTTCAACCCTCGGATCTTGCTCGGCCGGTACCGACCTGTGAGCCGGTCACCGCTGGTGCCCCGCGACGAAAGAAGGCATGCAAGGGCTGTACATGTGGTCTAGCCGAGATAGAAGCACAGGAGGCAAAGAATTCCAAGGTAGTAATGCTGAATGGGCAGGTAGATGGCGAGGCAGTGGTTATGAGCCAGGATGAAAAGGCAAGGTTGCTGGAAGCTGCCAAGATGGCGAGCAAGGCGACAAGTAGCTGTGGCAGTTGCTTCCTTGGTGATGCATTTAGATGCGCGAGCTGCCCCTATTTAGGTGAGTACTGGATTCTTACCATGCGACGAAACCCTTTATATGACTAACAAACTCCATAGGTTTACCCGCTTTCAAACCGGGAGAAAAGGTAGAGATTAGCTTTGGGATGGATGATATATAATCGTTGCTAGAAGGCTAGCTGCCATCGCGATGCTTAATGACTGCATTCTAGACGTCACTCGTTATTAATATTATCATACTGCAAGTTAGCCATTATATACATCTAGAAATCTGAATCTATGGTATTCATGTAAGATATGGAATCTTTCGTTGTTGTTCGTTAATCAAGCGTAGTAGCTGGAGCCAGTGAGGAGCAAGCTCAAGGCACTCAGTCCATCTTCGTCAAATTTCTTCTGGTCCTCTGCCCATGTATCTTGGTGTGTCCGTTTGAAGTTCATTGCAGTCTTTCGGACTGTCGTTGAAATCGGTAGAGGGGAGTGTGTATGTTTGCTAAGCACATCTGTTATCAGCCCTGGAACCCAGCTTGGACAGCTATATGGATATGCATCCAAGAGTGCACCGATCCCAAGTATAGCACTGTGCAATGTACGGATGGATGCCTGATATTTCGGGTCATCGCGGGGAGGTATCTTGGTTTTTCGGGCAAGTCGTTGGAAACGATCCTAAGATCGTGTTAATCAATTGGGTTCATTATCTGGACAGATTTATCAGTTACCTTGAGTGTAATGACACTTTGTCGTGGTGAACAGCGCAGAATGCCAGATAGAGTACTTTATGAGGGTTAGCCTGGCTCTAGGAAACGGATCAGGAACCTACGTGGCTGCTGTCTCTCGTACTGATATATTCTCGTCATCCAAGCATTTACAGACGACCTTTAAATCCATGAGTATATTATGGTACAGCTGAGACAATGGACAAACCTCCAAGATTTGTACAACCCGGACATCGCTGAGCAGCTGCATTTGACGGAAATAAAAGACTATAACAACTCTTTAGCATAAAAAGAGTATACCAATAGGTACAAACCTTGAACTAAAGGCAATGCTTTAAGTCGTATTCTCCAGGACTAGATTTTCACGTAAGCATTCGCTTTGATCGATGGATAACCATCACATACAGTGGTCTCCTCAATTACTTGGAAGATAGTATTCAGGAAAGGAACAATGAGCTCCTTGGGTGGGATCACCCCACATGTTCTGGTGAGGAGGAAGCCGGCACGTTGAGCAAGGTCATTGTTATCGTTTAATTCACTCATTCGAAGTAGCTCAGGCTAATGAATTCTTTAGTTTTCAAACATTTCACAGTCCAAAAGAGATACTGACTATGAATGGGATGACATATGCATAACTGGAAACCGCCTGGATGTCGTGTAACCCCAAGAATAGCCACTTGAGAATTGTAGACGCAGCGCGATCGTATTGTGAGTGGATTGCACGAGCGCCTGGCAACCTCTCTGATCTCCAACGCTCCAACTCTGGAAGTAGCTTCTTAAAGCGGGGTAGTTGGGAACCTTCTCTGATCGACATAATGTCCTCGGTCTCAGGGAGTGTATGGCATTCTCTGACGAATACCTCAGTCGTTGGAACGGTAGGTTTTGGTTGCCACTGATGTCATAGGTTCGTAAACCAGTTTAGGTGAGCATGATAAACATACCATAATCTTGTCAAACAATTCCAGAGCATCCGCAATATATGCTCGAACCTTTGATAATGTGAGTTCCTGCGGATTAAAACGAAACCAAAACATACTTCGTCGTGATCTGATGCCAACTCCTGCCAATGCCCTAATTGGTCGTCAGTATGAACCCTTATGCATAAGCAAATCAGGCGGCTTACGTTCTAAGATAGGTTCGATCCATGGCTGGAAGCGCCATCCAAGACTTTCGGCCATTGCTTGGGTGAAGCAACAAATCCTGACGGCTTGCATATTGTAAATCTCTTGAGCTCAAGTTATGATAATAATTGTTACCTTCAAATGATAGCTCTTGATTATATTCCATAAGTCTACTCTCGTTGATAACGTAATTCACGATAGCTTGAGAACGCCGTGGATCTCGATTTCCCAGCAAGTACTTAAACCTGATGTTAGATCAACAAAGTGTCAAATAAATACAACTCACCTCAAGAAAAGACGTCCATATATTCAATGTATCAGATTTGACATTCTGTCCCAAAATCTTGGGTAATTGTGGCTCGATCCAGTTCCAAATCTTGATTTGCGACGTAATTGGCCAATTTTTTGACCCTGAAATTGGGGTTTGGTTAAAGTAGCAGAGATGTCGAGTGAAAAGATACCAACCACCCAGGAGACCTGCCAAGAATTCGGCAGCCGCACGCTGCTTATTTTGTTCTATGTCTTCCAAAAGTTTGGTGACCGTTGGGTGAAGTGAGTCCCAGGGCTCATCGCCGATCATTTGAACTGGTATTGCGTTGAGCAGTGTGCTCCCTCCTGATACTTTTCAGGACTCACAAATTGACTTCACGAACGAAACATTGTCCCAATTGATAGCGGAACTCTGGTTTTCCTCGGCATAATGTACGCGTAGCTTCTCCCAATATGATGAGGTGAGGACAAGACTACGGAGAGCTTCCAGAGCACTCTTAGAATCCTCTTCCCATGTTTCCTTTTCAGAAGGTGCTAACAGAAAGTCTACCTGGCTTGTCCACGCTAGCCAACCAGTTTTGGCTTTATCCTGTAAAATGCTACCATGCCTAGTCAGTTTGATTTCATGGTATTAGGGAAATAACAAACGGCTTTTTCTGCGCCAGTTCCCAGTCTACCGGTTCAGCGAAGGTTTGTAGATACTCTCTAGTAGTATCGTGTGATGGTTGCTGCACAGGGACACTACGGCGAAGCGGGTTGTGATTTGACTGCAATATCAAGTCCTTTGGCTCCTTGCTATGAGTTCTGACTTTGATATAGCGAAGCATTTTCATAACTGCCCTCTGAGAATACTATTGATGACCTATATCAGCGACTTATATCAGGAAGAAGTTCAGTGTACCTACATAGCGAATGGAGGGGTGATTGTCAGTCGTTTTTGAGAGGAAATACTCCATTTGGGAACCGTTATTCGGCACTTCGCGCCGCACTAAGGCTCTCAGCATGCGCAAAGCGACAATGCTATACTTCCAGTGCGTCTTATCTGACATGCCAATCGCCAGTAACGCCTTTTGCGTCTCCTCTAGGTAGTTTCTTGTCTCTTCGAGTCGTGTCTTGCACACTTCAGCGTTTCGCTCGATCACTTCACGATCTTGGAGACTTTCGGGCAGAATCTTAAAGAGCTCTTCTGCAGCATGATGCAAAGGTTCGCTGTCCATACCGTATACACTTTGACTTTGTTCGACAAAGTTTGATAGCGCTGACCAGTTGTCAACATGGCACTATAGATATCGAATAGACTGCACAAACTGTTTTCCGCAATCGAAGAAGCAACGTTCTGGATCGAAGGCTATTCGATGTCAGCCTGTTTCTGTCTGATCTCTAAAAGAGTCACCTTTTCGTTGTGTTGACATCCAAAGAAATATTTGACAAAAAGAGGAATCTGCTCTGGCTCTGAAAAGAATAATGAGATGGGTTTTGATGTACGCATGTAAGCTATCACCTGTCGCTGCATATTTGCCTGAATGATATTAGGAGTCTTGATCACCAAAATTAGTCTGGAGCTCTTACCAAAGGCAGGATGATTTAGAAGATAGAGGGCGCCTTTCATACGGTCGTCGTCGGTTCCTTGGACCAGAGATTCATATATTTTTGGCATCACTCGACGCCTTACACCATCGTACGTCTGCATAATGCTCAGCATCGCATGAACAGTTGATAAATATCAGTATACCTCTGAGATCTTTGACAGGATATTCTGTGCAGGGGAGCGAACTGATAACTGTCAGATAGCTCTTCACATTCAAGGGGAAGAACCAACCAGTAGCGTATAGGCACATTGACCATTCGATCAGTTCATCAATCATCGAATTTTCAATATCCGTTCGAATACGCTCAATAGAGTTGCTTCGCATACGAATAGCGCGATAAAACCTGCGCTCATTTGTTAAGATGGATCCAATGACCCGGAAGGCACAACAGACCGTGCTTTGAGCACCCAAAGTGCACGAGGCCACTCTCTTTGACCAGCATATAAGCGAGCAACTATAGTAGGTGTCAGCAATACAATATAAGTTCCAGGTGGTAGGCTAAATTACCATTTTTCTCTTCATTAAACCGACTGCGCAGATAGCTCCAGTTGTCCGCATTGACCACCCCATTCTCAGTAAGATATATTTGAAATGATGTAATCTGCTGAGTGGTTTATACGTAATCAATGGCAGTTGGTCCACTCCTTACCACAGCTTGAATCGCATCCACAGTGTTCTCTTCCCCCTGATGTCGAAGTGTCCGAGAAGAACGTAGTAGTATATCTGCAAATCGCCGGCGGTGCTGAATTATCTTTGCATAGCGAGGGTCTTTCTCGTCTCGCAGCGGGAAACCTGTCTCAATGGAACCCCATTTTGCAATCATTTCTGGGATGCTCTTCCTAGAGGACGGTGAATAATAGATCCAATATACTTGTGAAGAGCGTACGGCAGATCGGTTGTAGCATAATAAGCATCCGTTTCCTCCTGTGTCACTCCGGCCTTGGCTAGTGCTCCAATGCTGCTGAATGCCTCCTGTAAAAAGGCAAAATTTCTGCAGAAATCGTTGCGCCAAATAGCATCACGGGTTATTTTGTCCTCAAGGAGATTCTCTATACGTTCCATTGCGAGCGCAACAATGTCATCCATAATTTCAATCGCAAATGCTATCTCCTCTTCATTAGGTACGTGCCATTGGATCTGATTGATGCATTATGTACGAGTGGTGACATATTATTGCGGTACTTACCCCTACTTCACCGATCGAATACATCTTTCCCCATCGCTTGTGGTGAGAATGCAGAAATCCTGTGCACGAAGTGAATTCAATACCGGGTTAAACTTTTGAGAATGAAGAAATTTTACCAGTACTGTGCCATTCATCCACATTGACAAACCGGTCATCCAATGGGTATGTGTTTGTGCATGCCAGAAGGATACTATAAAGAAGTCGACTTGCCCATTGATATCCTCGTTTAGAATACGTTTTATCTAGCAGAAGGCGAAGCAAACTCTTGAGTTCATCCTTATAGGGAAGAATACGCCTTCCATCTTTCACCATTGCTCCTCGAAGAATCGCTAGATCTGGAAAGACGTGTCAGGAAGGGCATCTCAAACCCAATTGGATAAGATGAATTTCTCACTCCAGTGTAAGGTGGCATCTGATGGTAAGGCATCAGAGGAAGATGTTGTCCTATATGTTCGTCAACATCTGGTCAAGTGGAACTCGAAAAAGTAATATACCTCAAAGAACTTGCACCATGTTCTATCTCAGTCCGTATGTGCTGAATACAGTGGGGCACAAAGCGCTCCAAAGTCTTTTGAGGATCGGCAATGGCGAGGCATTCTACTAATTGATGAATCGCTCGCAAGGCATTGGGGCGTACGTGACTAGTGGCATAGTCGTAAAGGATATTCAAGACGAGGTCAAATAGGGGTTCAGATAAGTGTTGACAAATCAGAACACATGTCGATCCGACATTGTCTATCACAGCGACTGCAAATATTGAGTCAGCAGTTGTTCACAGTCATAGGATTTATGGACAATGGTTGACCTTCGTCTTCTCCCCCAGCCCGAGTCCCTGGTTGACCTTCCTCTGGTAGATTTTCCATCAGTGTAATCACTCGATGGAACCAGGAAGTTACAAAATTGGAGAAGCTAGCTGTGGACTCCTTTACTAGTGCATCCTCCTCAGAGTCAGGGAGGCGCGGTTCACTATCGTTCGGAGTTTCATCTCCCGTGAAGCCGTGCGCAATGTTTATAGTCGGTAGGATTATCTTCATAGTAGGTGTCGATGTACCGCTGGTGCGACGGGGGGTGCCTGGAGTACCTGGAGCACTCAAGAATGCGGGAGATACGAATCCATTGGGGTGCGAACTGGTGAATTCCGTTAAATCTCCGAATTTGATGAATTGAGCGATATCTTTGACTAAAGAAGACGTGCAGACCGTCTTGGTTGGATCATTCTAAAGGAGATATCAAAGTTAACAAAAATGCCAAAATGTTCAGTCCAAGAATACAGACCAAGTCGATTCCTGGTATTAAAAGTTCTAAAATGGGGGCGATATGCTTGGATCCAGGATAGTACAAGCTTCTGGACGTCATGCACATGCTCACAGCACCAAGACCTTTGATGATGGCAAGAGTCCTCTGAGTCTCCGTGAGCGTTTCCAATGCCGAAACAGCCCTCTCTAGTATTGAGGGGAGGATGAGATCTGGTTCCATGCTTATCATCGACTTGAAGGCACTTTGCACATTTGAAGTGGTAGTAGTATCAGATGAGAAGATCGAGAGGAGGCAGACGGTGCGCAAACACCGTACTAACTCCCTTCGCATAGCGGAGGTTAGTCGTCGAGACTGGAAAGAAATGTGAAATATCTAACAAATGGCTGAAAGCCAGGGCTTACCTTTGGCACTTTGCAATCAGGCTTCAGTTCCTCATGCCATCTTTTGTTAAACTCAAAGACAACATACTTGATGAGGGCGGTGAGCTGTTAAATAAGCCAATATCAGCTTCTGACCATCTTAATAGGAAGAAACGCACGTCATTGGTCCATTTTCCACCATTAGTTGGATGGAAAAAGCTTTCGCAAGATATGATCAATTTTGAAAAGGAGTCCAATGCCTTTGAGCCGCCCAAGTATTTCTTGTCCTTCACTCGGCCTTTGGGACCAAGGGCAGCTGAGAAATAGTCTGCTACCTTACTAGGGGAGGTACCCGCGAGTGGGGTACCAATGGGGGCAGAAAAGGGAGTAGAAGTCCCGGATACAGGTGCTGGAGCACTATCAGGGGTCATGGAATACACAATTATACGAGCAAGGGATGCTAAAAATCATGTCAACTTAAGTGAATTGCATGTATTTAGCTCATACCGATTCTCCAGGGACATCGTGGTAGTCTCCCGATTTCGAAACCTGCCTGACCATCGACAGAGGGCCCTGTGGTCAATGAACCAGCATCGGCAAGTGGTATCTCTGAACATAAGGGTAAGGAGTGTGTTTTTTTTTTTTTTTTGGTAAATCTTCTTACCCATAGAAATCAAGCATTTGCACATGATGAAGTTCCACTCATCGTCACTAAACATTCCTACATCTTTATAAAGGCCTCTCCAATCCTCAGATGAATCGTGTCGTGACCATTTGATCGGTGGAGTGTCATCCCAGTCCGCAGGAATTTCATCTACGCGCTTGGGATTGCTGATCGACGGATCTACATGCATTTCTGCAAGCCTCGAGAGGAAGTGTAGCATCCTTTCATCGTATGCATAACTATTCACTGCTTCCCAAAGGCGGAACATCATGGGCAGATAGTACTGAGGGTGGGAAAGAGGAAGGAATGTGACTAGATAGTATTGATTCGCGAGTATTTGCTATAGATGGTTGGTTTAAGTGGTTGTGTTAATATCTGGGAGATACTTACGTCTAGGTTACTGCCGATGATATGTGGGACAAATTCTTGCAACATTTCATCGATACAAATGGGAGGAAAGAACTTTCGAACATTCTCCGTCACATATGCCATATTATACGTTGTCTGACTACAGAAACAAAAGGAAGTTAGGTTGTGCATGTACGTCAGACTGAAATACATACTTATATTCGAATTGACGTCGTTTGAGAAATAGATCACGCGATAAAATATCGTACAAAGGCTTCCAAGGCAGTCTCAAGTCATCGATGCTAATCTTCTTCTTCGAACGAGTGAGCATTGCCAGCGTGTCCATACAGGCCGACACAGTATCTGTAGGCATGCCCGGAACGACGCATACTGTAGGAAGATGAGAATCTATCGAAAGAGTAAAAACTGTGGGAGCCTACTTTGATAGAATAGTTTGATCAGCGCAATTCTTTTCGGACGTGGTAGTGGATACTTCAATTCAAGCCATCTATGAATATTGCACACACGAAGTAACTTAGCAATACAATCTCATAACGACACGAAAACACGTACGATGCAAGTATGCTATCCCACTGGAGGAGGCCATATTCATAGTCCTGCGATTCGACAGCTTGTACCAACCTCGCTAGTATCAAGTCTAGTCGATTCTGCATCTCCTCTTCGGATTCGATCTTGAACGGCAAACTTGCAGCGACATGTCTGAACTTCTGGACAGCACGGTAGTCTTCTCGTATTGGCGTTGGAAGGCTGGGACCAGTGCGTGCAAGGTTGGAAGGAGCCGTTTTTCTAAGCATATACTGCTGTGTTACTTGTGTAGAAGC